CTGCTTGCTGCTGCCTACTACTGCTGCTTCCTGCCTGCTGAGTACTGCTGCACATGCTACTGCTGCTCCTACTACTGCTACTACCTCCTGCTACTACTATCGTGCTCTGCTCGTTCTCTGCCTTGCTGCTGCTGGTACTACTGCTGCTACTGCTGCCTGCTACTGCTGTACTACTGCTACTGCCTGCTGCTAATGCTGCTGCTGCTTGCTGCCTAGCTGCTGCACTGTGCTCTACTGCGCTGCTGCCTGCTGCGTACTACCTTGCTGCCTACATTGCTACTACTTACTGCCTGCTACTGCTGCTGCTCTGCCGGCTGCTTACTGCCCTGCTACTGCTGCTGCTGCTGACTACTGCTGCTGCCTGCCTGCTGCTGCCGCTACTACCTGCTGCCTACAGCTGCTGCTGACTGCTGCCTACGTTGCGATCTACTGCTGCTTGCTGACTGCCTACTGCTGCTACTAGTGCCTTGCTATACTGCCTACTACTGCTACTACTACTGTACTGACTGCTGCTACTAGTTGTACTAGCTGCCTACTACTGTTGCTGCTGCTATCTATGCTGCTGCTGGCCTGGTACACTGCCTACTGCTACTACTCTGTCTGGCCTCCTGCTGCTGTACTGCTGCCTCGCTGACCTACTGCCTGCCTGTACTACTGCTTCTACTTTGATGCCTGCCTGCTCTGACTCTGACTGGCTGCTGACCGGCCTGGCGACTACTGCCTGCTACTACTGCACTACTGCCCTGCTTCTGTCTGCTGCTCAATAACTACTGCTTGGCTGCGCTGCATACTGCTATGTGCTGCTGCTGCTGCTGTACTCTGCTATGCTCTACTGCTGCCTACTGCCTACTACTAGTACTACTTTGCTGTGCACTACTGCTGCTGTACATGCTGCTACTACTGACTACTACTACTGACTGCTTAGCGCTGCCGCTCCTTCCGTGCGGCAGACGCAACATTTCCGCGTGGCGATTACGTCCTTCGTTATCCTCGCACGGAAAAAAAAACATTAAAAAAGTTTCCATCTTTGAAAGTAATACCTAAAACCTTGAAGCCCTGTAAACTTACCGCATAGCCCCAAAACTTCCTTAAAAGCCACGGGTACACTTTCCCAGGGTTTAACGAAATTAAGGAAATCAACGGGTAGTCATTTAGTCCCTCGTCTTGTGCTCCTTAGGTAGCTCGTCTTGCCCTGTCTCCTTACCAACTAATTCACGTTCGACCGTTTAATGACCACACCGCGCGCGTGGTGGCACCTGCTGTCTGAAATTCAAACTGTACATTTTTACCGTAAATTTACGGGATAGTCCGTTAGTCTGTCGTTTTGTGCCCCTTGTAGTTAGCTTTTTTTCAGCAAATGCTCAAAGAAAATTTGGCAGACGCACATCGCATGAATTCTCAAAATAAGCACATGCGTTATTGTTGTTAAAAATGCTTTGGTTTTGAACTGCAGACTGCAGACTCCCTCATTTTGCTGCGGACTCCCTCTTTTCGAGGGCAGGGAGTCCGCTGGACTTGCTTGTTCAGAAGTTATTTTCTACGTCTGTGACAGGGTATCGAGCGATACATGAAGCAGGCCATAGTGGACAAGGTCCACTCTGTGTCCAGTGCCGCCCTCGTCTCCAGCCTCCACCTGATGAAGACGAGTCACGACGTCGTCAAGAGATGGGTTAACGAGGCACAGGAGGCCGTTAACAGGTGAGACGACAGGTGACGCGCGAGCGTACAGGTGTGTGTTGGGCCGGCAGGCGGGCGTGTGTCGGTGCCAGAGTGAGAACAATGAACGCATAGATGAGTGTTGAACGTACAACGGTCAGCATGTGAAATCATGTAATTTCAAGGGGATTTCTAATTCCGTTTCCTCTCGAAATTAAATGATTTTATCTGTAGTCGAATTGTCTCGCACTCAAGCATAGCGTGTCGTCATTGTGTGTCATCATTGCATGCCACATAATGTCATCGTAGTGACAACATCATGGTATGGTACCACGTGCTCGCGTGTAACATGTCATCATGTCGTCATTGCATGTCATCATGTCATTGCATGTCATCGTGTAATTATTCTGTGTTGTTGTTACGTTACAGTGACAACATCATGGTACAGTACCACGTGCTCACGTGTAACATGTCATCGTGTCGTCATTCCGTGTCGTTGCAGTGACAACATCATGGTGCAGTACCACGCGCTGGGACTTCTCTACCACATCAAGCAGAATGACCGGCTAGCCGTCACCAAGCTCGTGTCAAAGTTCACGCGATCCTCGCTGCGCTCTCCCTATGCATACTGCCTCCTCATCCGCATCGCGTGTAAGTGCTAGTGTATACTGAGGTGTGTAAGTGATGCTGTAAAACACTGGTGACGGGTTTCTTATACGTAAGAGGCACAGTGGCGCACCGCCGTTGTCAAATTTAACATCGCCATTGTGAAAATGTTCCTGTATTTACCCGCCATTGTCAAATTTAACATCGCCATTGTAAAAATGTTCCTGTATTTATCCGCCGTTGCCAAATTTAACATTGCCGTTGGGAAAATGTTCCTGTATTTACTCGCCGTTGTCAAAATAGTGTCAACCCAAAAATAAATAGATCACCTGCTTCTGGCATATTTAGATTGCCATACATGTGCGTTTATTCAGGCATGTGATGCAGGGTCTAGACTTTTCCAAGAACTTTCCGTTTCCTTGAATCCATTATGTGAATTTTTTTGTCCCAAACTGGCCAGTACCTCCTTTGTCTAATTTTTGCTCAGAAGAAACCCTGTAGTGATGAGTACTAGAGTGTACTGAGGCAGTGCTAGAACCTACGCTATGAGACGCTAGAACTGCAGAGATGTCTCGGTCTCGCGCCGTGTTCGAAATGTGTTTTTCCGCCACCGATCACCCCTGGATCATTAATAGGGTTTAGCAAGGCATAGGGTTCTTGTTTTGCTCATGTAGGGTATACGTACATCAGGCTTTCATTTTTGAGGGGCGCGATCGCGCTCGCGCTCCACCGCG